TTGGATTTACACAGCAGTCCTTCTGCATACATTTCAAGCCTCATTAGACATTTTTTGTCAAGCAATGTCCCATACAATGTCAAATCTAAATCCTTCTTAATCATACAGGTGAAAGGCCATAAAGTTCTAGGGTTTAAAAAAAACACTGAACAGTGGCCAGGTTGACTCTTGAAAGGGTCTTAATCTAAAGATACACAGGTGTTTATTCTCTGGAGACTGTCTGAACAGGCAAAGTATTTGGATAAATTACTGTTAGCTGGCTCCCAGAGACCCCCGCCGTTATAAACTCTGAGCAATACAAGGAGTGAAACAAATCCTTCTGAACTGCAGTGGAGGTAGAAAGAATCGCCCTGTGGTCTGCAATCAGAAGTCAAAAGACCCTTTCACAGTGCTGTGCAATTTGCGATGCCTCAATCTCCAATTTGCATGCAACGTACATGAGTCCCAACAAAATATAACGAGGCAAAAAATGCAGTGCATAATTTATTACAGGCTTACTCCCCGACTAATATCTTAGCACAGTGTTCACCGCACAGCTGGAGCTGAAAGGAAGCGAAGCAAATCTCTGCTGTACAAAGATGCTGTGGTATGTCCGGCTTTAATTGGCTTTGCAGTGCATCAGTTCTGAATCAGTTGTTTGCCTTAATCCGTTTAGCCCGGGTCCACTTGGCCATTATTACCAACTGAACCGAGGACAAGTAAAAGTGGGTTTAATTGTTGTTGTGACTGTGTTAAGATCAACTCCTGATTAGTTTGCCACTATTCTGTTCTTGGGCTGCTGTTCACACCCCTCCTGCTGTGTGTGTGTGTGTGTGTGGTTGGGGGCGGTATGGGTTGCAAAAAGTTAGTTTTTTTGTTTTTAAAATAAGACTATTTTCTGCACAGTCAGAGTATAAAGTGCATTATTGACACTGCAGATTTTAAAGCTGGGCTATGGCTATGCAACGTGGGTCAACAGCTGTAAGGTTACAAACACCCAGAGAAAATTATACATCTACATGGAAATTATACAAATACATTTACAGATCAATATTTATTCTCGAATGTTATGAAAACCATTGTTGATGTATTTCCCAAATCGTTGCTTTTCATACAGATCAACGCTGTTTCCCCACTGATTCGAATTGATGCTCAACAATGTTCAAAGCTTCGTGACCCACTGGTAAAATCACTCGAAACGCTTGAGAGTCTCTGCATGAACCATCTCAAACTAGAAAAGATTTTAAATGATGATGCTGGTACCCATAATGAAGTGATGTGAGGAAAGCGTGTGTGTTGTTAGATTCTCCAATCCCACAATGGCATTTTATAGTTTTTTATTGATTTTTTTCCCCTTCTTTTGCAGTGCTGAACAGAATTAAATATTACATTCAACCCAACCCCGAAATAGGAAGGCAGTTTCCTTGTTTGAAATAAGAAATATTTTCTCAAATATGTACCACTTAACATCTGGCCTGACTCATTAATATATATAACAAAATGGTCTTTAAAATAGCAAAGGGGCGCTGTTGTTTTAAATAAATGACTTATTAGTGCAAGTTTCTGACCAAGATCACAAATAATATGATTTGTCCATGGCAAGGGTGGGGGGGATATATTTGATGAATATTAATTGAGGTATATGGTGGTAAAATATACTTTCCTTCAATGGTGAATATGCCCCTTGAACTGCTTGTGCCTTAAAGTTGGACTTCACAATCTCAAAACCAACACAAAAATGAATGAGAAAGAAATTTCTCCCCGTTCCCCAGTTTTAATGCTAATAGGAGACTTGAACCATTCTTTCATTCTACTTTGTGTCCTATCTCTTATCAGTTTCGTTTAATCCTTTTAATTCGGGTCCACTTGGTAACTACAATCCAAGAGAAAGTAAAATGCCTTTCATTGGCATTCTGATTATGCCCATCAGCTGTTACATTTGCTGTTCTAATCCTGGGCTAAATAAAATGCTTCTGGGCAGGCGTTGACCTCATTGACTCTCCTTTGTTTCACGTTCACTGATCAATCCAAAACTGTATGGTCTTATCCCCACTATTAACGAGATATCCTTATAGATTTATACACATTCCATTTGTGATATAAAAATACTCTACCATAGATTTTCAACAAATCAAACCATCAACTAAAAGGCCAATTCTACTAATCCATAACCAATCTGTATTGTAGCACTATATAATTTTTTATTTCGTTAAATTGAGAATTCCTAACTTGTCCTGTGGGTGAAGGCATTGCCCCCAACCCCCCACCTTGGTTTCTGAAAGTGATTAGCCAGGGTCCCCTCTTCTGATCCCAATCAAAAGTTTCCAGCTGGAAGGTTTATAGGATGGTTAGATGGCAAACATAATAATAATCCTTGCATTTGATATAGCACCTTATCACGTCTTTGAGACATTTCAAAGAGCTTCACAGAATATACTGTAAAGTGAATTGACTGTATATTTTGTGGATGAAAACACAGCAGCCACTGTGCACAGCAGTGTCCCACAAACAGTCATGGATTGAAGTGACCAATTTATTTTTCTTTGAAGGAATTATTACCCCCGGAAAAGCAATCCGCCAATCGAGCCCAGGTTTCTCGCTTGCGAGGTGAGTACTGTAACCACTGAGCTACAGGACTCCACTGAGAGAGAAAGGCTGATTAGCATTTGGGTGTGACACCTCCACCCCACACCCTAACAGCTCTGATATGAAAATTAGCATTTTGATGAGAGGGTGCCTCCCTTTCAACTCTCAAGTGTGCAGGTCCGAATCTGTGCTGGTCTCAGTCCGATGCTAAAACTACCTCCCCACCCACCCCCTTTCTGAAAGAGATGATCCAGGGTTCCCTCTTCTGATCGCCATTCCAAAGCTCCCAGGCAGCTTGGTTTTGATTCAACCTCCTCCCCTTCCAATCGGTAAGATTGACCTCCTCTGCATTAGCAGGTTTTATTTCCGATTTACAAACTACAACACTCAGGATTCTTTTTAATCAGAGTTGGGTGATTGGGCTGCGCTGGGTTACCAGCTATCAAAGATCCTGACAGTGTACATAAGAATTGCTAGACAAAAGAAGGTCCATCCAGTTCGCCTTCCAACACCCTGGTAATCGCATGCACATGTCATGTCCCAAACTATATATTGTATCCCATGATATTATTTCCTAAACAAAAAGCGTACTGCAGCTGAGAGATAGCTACCTGTTCCCCACGGCAGTGCGGGTGGAGGGGTTGTGATATGGCCCAGGAAACCTGGATATCTTCTCAAATGAGAAGTTTACATGATGCTTTAACCCACTGACTGACCCATTAGCTCAGCGAGAGATATGAGCCGAGCTCTGCTGCATGTAAACAGTCAGGGTCATTAATCACCCTGTTACATTACACTCATTAATTCCTTCAAATAAATAATAATAAATTGGTCACTTCAATCCACGACAGTTTGTGAGGACACTGCTGTGTGCAATTGGCTGCCGGGTTTCACCTACACAATATACAGTCAATTCACTTTACAGTATATTCTGTGAAGCGCTTTGAGACGTCTTGAAGACGTGATAAGGCGCAATATCAAATGCACCTATTATTATTTATTATTATTCTGTGAGATCTATGACTATACAAGGACCATAATCACAAACTGTACGACGTGAATAGGCATTCCAAACTAATTCGTGCTTGAAGGAAGTTAGCGATTTTGATTAACTTATCGAGTCTGTGTCACAAATGTAAGGTTATTAATTAATTGTTCTCTTACTTACTAATGCAACACAGACTAAAATAAACTAAGAGCCGTTCCATTAGCATTTGCATTCCATTGTTATAAGCACCATCAGATGCTGTAGCATCTTCCTCGCCTCTGGGGGAAAATTATATTTAGACTAATTTAGCCGTAATGTCTTGGTTTACTGCATATGAACATTAATCATAATGCGAAAGAGATGATGGAAGGCAGGGTGCCCAGATGGACCCACATGTGTTGAAAGCCTCTGGAAATCGCTGTTTGGTGAAATTCCCTGAAACAGTTATTAGCCTCCGGGGAAGATGCAGAGCCCTGGAGAAACCGCAAGCGAGCGAGTATACAGGAATCTGCCCTCCAGAAACCCAATCAGTCTCGGTGTCCTTCTCCCTCGCCAATGTGCGTATTGTTAAATCATTTCCCCCAAAAAATCACGCACGCGTCAACGTGGATAGCGTCGCACTTCGGCGAAAGCTGTCTTGCCTTCGAATACCTCGTCAATGTCACAATTGGTGTTGAATTTTTTTTTAAAAAAAGCACACTCAGTTTGGTGGAAAGCAAAGCAAAAGCAAAGCCTCATCTGCGCTCGGAATTCGGTCCAGCTTGGCACCAAGGAAAGCCACTCAGTCAGTCAGTCAGTCATAGTGAATTCCAAGAGCTCATTGGGGGGCATACTATACTGTGAAATGAATCTCCCCACACACACAGCCAGTGTTGACATCAAACAAAACATTACTCACTCGTCTTATTGTAACCAGCAGTCCCTTTAACTTCGCCTTCAGTCCCTTTAACTGTTAACCTTCCAATTTGTTCTTGCACATTTTGGTCATGAATGCGGTGACCACACACACATATATATATATGTATATATACATATGTATGTGTGTGTGTATATAATATACTCGGAAACGGTTTCACCAGAAATTCTCTGCAGATTTGAAGTTGGCGAAGGTTTGCAAAGTAGCGCAGAACATTCAGTTGAGGATCAGTCCGCCTCCATTACACAGCAATTCGCTTTAGCTGAGGGCTGATTCTTCAGTTCAACACACAATGCTTCAGCAATCAATACACCATAAAGCATTCATCTCCTTCTGAGTGAATCAACAGCTCTCATTAACATTTAGATGAAGCGAACGATCCCGAAGGATAAGACAATCAATTTACAGTGCACTGACGGTGAAAGAAACATCCTTTATATTTTTTTCTCTCTCTCTCTCTCTCCCTCTATCCCTCTCTTGTTCCCTTTCTCCCGATATTTCGGAAAACGTGAAAGAAAAGATATTACTTACGCGCTGTGACTGTATCTCCAATCTGCCAATAAAGTATAACTGCTACTAAAGCGCAAGACATCTCGATCGCAGGCGAGTGTCTGGTGCAGAACAAATGGAGGAGCAACTTTCTTCTTGGGATGCAGATGGGATTTTTCTTTTTTTTTTTTTGGCCCCCACCCCCCCCACCCCCCTCCCACCACCACCACCACCACCACCCAAAAAAAAAATTGTCGCCCTTATTGTCGGGGGGTGTCAGTGGAGAGACGCCCTGTGAAGTTTTGACGTCTTCCCAACTTACATGGCCACAACGAGCATTTTGCAGCTTTTAAACAGCACTCTCGGTTTTTAAGCGCTGGGGTTCCCCACATCCACTCTCGCAAAACGACTGGGGTTTAAAATCTCGGGTCATAAATAATGCATCCAACGCAGCTGTGGGGTGGGAGGGGGGGGGGGGGGTGTAAAAAAAAAAGTGTGGGGTGAGGGGGGGGTTTCAGATGGACCACAGGCTCCGGTACAATCCCAGTGAGTGATCAGCAGCATCACTGCGCTTTTTATACGGTTCCCAATGGGTTCATCGCGGAAAGGCTACACCCGAGTGACGTAGCGCTACTCCCTGACAAGTTTAAGGGAAGGGGGTCCTCCACCTTCAGAGAGAGAGAGAGAGAGGAGAGAGAGAGAGAGGCGGTGTCTGCGCTGCTTTTATTTTATTGGGGTACCGTTCGTGTCCCGTCTCGAGTCCGCGTCAGGCGGGAGAGTACCGGAGAGAGCTGAGGAACAAATCGGTTCCAAACTCCTTTCGGTTTAAATCTCCCCCGCGGGTCCCAGTCAGTCAGTCACCGCTCACTGCGGACTGGTCCCAGTCAGTCAGTCACCGCTCACTGCGGACTGGTCCCAGTCAGTCACCTCTCACTGCGGACTGGTCCCAGTCAGTCACCTCTCACTGCGGACTGGTCCCAGTCAGTCACCTCTCACTGCGGACTGGTCCCAGTCAGTCAGTCACCGCTCACTGCGGACTGGTCCCAGTCAGTCAGTCACCTCTCACTGCGGACTGGTCCCAGTCAGTCAGTCACCTCTCACTGCGGACCAGTCCCAGTCAGTCAGTCACCTCTCACTGCGGACTGGTCCCAGTCAGTCACCGCTCACTGCGGACTGGTCCCAGTCAGTCAGTCACCTCTCACTGCGGACTGGTCCCAGTCAGTCAGTCACCTCTCACTGCGGACTGGTCCCAGTCAGTCAGTCACCTCTCACTGCGGACTGGTCCCAGGAAAAACCCGTTAAAATACTGCAATGACACTTCCAAACTGGGTTTTTAAACGAAACGGCATATAATAAATATCCTCGCAGTTGACATAACGCCGGGCATTACCAGAGGGCGTCTCACAGTGCCTCACTTGCTTTTTTACTTTACTTTAAACCTACATCTGCACTCGTCAATGCAATGCATTTTGTTTCACACAGAGAGCCGCTGTATTTTATTAGGCGAAGCGATTTGCGCATTAGCACTGTCACCTAAACAGCTGTGAAGCGAACGACTAATAATAATAATAATAATAATAATAATAATCCTTGCACGCCACGGGCGTAATAAGTCAACAAGCAAACAAGAAGAGTCCAGAGTAAATGCTGGAATCTTTATTTGACTCCCGATTTCAGATCCACAGAAGTTGTTGGGCGCCGCAAAACTTGTGATTCGAGACCAGCGTTCAATACGTCCGAAATACGTTTACGCCCCAAAATAAATACCCCCAAAGCAAGAAATAGTTTTGGGAAGAGATTGGGATCTGGATTATGAATGACTAAAGAACACGCTGGCTGCTGGGCTGGGGCTTCTGTTGGAAGTCTTGCCATTCTCACGGTTGACAGGAAGGAAACCTTATTTGCGTGTCAACAAGAAACAGTGAGACATCGCACAAATGGGATGTGGGGCGTTGGAGGAAGTCGCTGCCAATAACGCAGCTCTACTGACCTCAACGGATTCAACGGATTACAAATCGGGGCTCTACGGTGCCAATTATTGTTGGCAAATGCAGCAAAACCTCTTCTTTTTTTTTTGACAATCAGTGCTTTCGGGAGAGTGGCTCTCGTGCCGATCAGAAACCCGTTTATAAATATTTTAAGTGAAAAAGATAGCGGTGCCAATCTGACCGTAGCCTTATCGTCTGACGAGTAATTTCTAACGCGTTACCGCTTAGCAGAATATTGGCAATCTTTGCATTTAAAAACAATCACTTGTTTATTCATCGATTTAATTTGTGGTCGGGAGGTAGTTTGCTGGAACCAACTAGATTTGCGTCGTGGTTAATTGCACCAGTTGAGAGTCGGTTATAGGGCTGAAGCATGAAATTGGATCCGGATGCGATCCAGGTTAGACATTAACAGATGACGCTAAGAAGAATTCCAAAGGAGTTAAATTCTGCCGAGCTGGAAAATGTGTCTTCTTTTTGTTAATAAGCCACGACTTACCAGAAGCAAACAGATTCACATCACATACTCTGTGGTCAGAACAGTAATGCATCACAAACATGTGTGTCAATGTTATTGCGTGATATAGAATAGATAGAATATGATAGAGAGGAACACTGTGCTTTTGGTCTCGCATGTTCAAACTAAATATATTGGAAATACATGTATTCAGGAACAAATCAATTACACCGACCTCTGCTGAATAAGGCACTTAACTAACCCACAACCCACGGAGTGAAATGACTCAATCGCTACAATACATCTGCAGTGAATGGTACAGATCCAAACTCACCATTCTACCATCGGTACAATGTGTGTGTATTTCTATCACGTAAAATGTTTGGAATATAAATGCATTTCAAAGCTAGGATAGGAACTTTGGGTGGGAAGTATTATGTGATTTGTATTATGAAGTAAATCTGTCCATGTGCCAAGTCTCGTCTTTAAAGCAGGATTAGGCTCTTTTGCACGGCATCCCACAGAAACATGTTTTCCCTTTAATCAGAGGGCAGTCTGACACGCACGTAAACCTTTGCTGTGCTTCAGTCCCCAGTTCCAGCTCCTGAGAATTCACAGAGTGCCTCTGCTGGCTCTCAATACGCAATCTTGGGGAAGTGACCATCCTGCTTGCTTGACTATTCTGGACCACATAATGCACATTGTGCGATTGGTGAAACTGAACCAATTAATTCCAGACACTTAATAGTCTGAGGTGCTCTTTTTGCTGCTTTGTCCAGATAATATAATAATCCTCGCATTTGATGTTGCGTCTCATCACATCATTGAGACATCTCAAAGCATTTCACAGAATATACTGTAAAATGGATTGATTTGTGTATTTTGTGCGTGAAACGCGGCAGCCAATTGCGCACAGCAGTGTCCCACAAACTGCGGTGGATTGAGTGACCAAATTAATATCTTTTTGAAGGATTATTCCCCCTAGAAAGTGATCCGCGAATTAACTAACCACTGGGTTCCTACTTACTGCTAGGTAAACACAGGTATCTGGAGTAAGGAAACTTGCCTAAGGTTTCGCCCTGCCCAGGAAACGAGTCAAGGAATCAAACCCAAGTCCTCTCGCTTGCGAGGAATAACCAATACACTACAGGACTCCACAAGTAAAAAATTTCTGGACCACAAAATGCACATTATGGTATTGGTGGAATTGAACCAGTTAATAACATGACACTTACCAATCGGAGGTGCTCGTCTTCCTGTTTTGTCCAGTTAGGACCACCCTATTCATTCGGGTAAAATACTGCAGGTGCTAGAAATCTGAAATAAAAATCTAATCATTAGGGTGTTGACTTGAAAAGTTATCAGAAATCACGTATGGAAACCCACCTCCTCGGGACATATTTACCCCTTCAAGTCCTAGTGATAAATAATAAATATAAAATAATCCTTGCATTTGATATAGCGCTTTTCATGTCTTCTAGATGTCTCAAAGCGCTTCACAGAATATACTGTAAAGCGAATTGACTGTATATTTATGGGCAAAACTCAGCAGCCAATTGTGCATGGCAGTGTCCCACAAACAGTCGTGGATTGAAGTGACCAATTGTATTATTGTTTCTTTTTCTTGAGGGATTATTATCAGGCGAGGGGAGTAAGGAAACTTGCCCAAGGTTTTGCTCTGTTGGGAATCGAACCCAGGTCTCTCGCATGCGAGGTGAGTGCTCTAACCGCAGGATTCCGACACTCCCTTAGAAAAGTAATGAGTCAAGCAAGCTTCTCAAACATCAACTGAGCTCTGGAGTGTTACAGTACCATTATAACAGTATTCATGAGATGTGTGAAACACTGCAATCTTAAAATGAGCATTCTTGTTGAGAGACATGGATTATTGTGCAATACAACAACAACAACTTGGATTTATATAGCGCCCTCTACGCCGGACGGCATCTCAGAGCGCTTCACAGTAATGGATCCTGGGACCGAGCCAGGGAGAGGGGGAGGAAGGTGACCAAAGGTGCGGTCAAAAAGAAAGGTCTTCAGCAGAGACCTGAAAATAGGAAGGGAGGGAGCGAAGGGAGTTCCAGAGCCTCGGGGCATAGTGGCTGAAGGCACGGCCACCGAGGGTGGAGCAGAGGACTCAGGGGACGAGGAGGAGGCCAGACCCGGAGGAACGAAGGCAACGGATGCTGTTTTGAGGAGAGAGGAGGTCAGAGAGGTAGGTGGGTGCAGAGGAGTGCAGGGACTTGAACACAAGGGTGAGGATTTTGAAATCGATCCTCTCTGGGATAGGCAGCCAGTGCAGTCTGGCGAGGACTGGGGTGATCAGGGAGTGGAGTTTCGTGCGGGTGAGAATGCGGGCGGCAGAGTTTTGAATAATTTGGATTTTATGGATGGTAGTGGATGGGAGACCGGCGAGGAGGGCGTTAGAGTAGTCCAGCCGAGAGGTGACAAAGGCATGGACCAGGGTTTCAGCGGCTTTTGGGGAGAGGTATTTGCGGAGACGGGCAATGCATCGGAGGTGGAAGAAGGCGGTGCTGGTGAGGGACCGGATGTGGGGGAGGAAGAATAATTGGGGGTCGAACCTGACGCCAAGGTTGTGTACAGGTTCGGAGAGTTTTAGGGGGAGGTCGGGTAGGTGGAGGAGGTGAGAGCCGTGAGATTTTAGACGTTGACAAAGAGTATGGCTTCCGTCTTGTCAACGTCAGCTTAAGGAAATTTGCGTTCATTCAGCCCCTGAGATCTGACAGGCAGGCTGACAGAACACC